CGAAGCTGAATTTGCGTTAGTGACCGCCGAAGGGGGTTGCATTCCACTTCACTCGCGCGGCCATCGGTCAACTCTCGACTCCGACCTTGACCTTTGCCGCAGCCCTCTCCGCAGCAGCCGGGCTTTGTTGAGAGCCAGGTGAAGGCCCCTTGAGACCAGCGAATGGAGAGAGGGGGGTTGGAGGGGCGGGAAGTGACACAGGAAGTCGACCGCAGAGTAAAGGGAGAGCGTAAAGGTGGTGGGAAGGGGGGGTGTGAGAGCGCGCGTGGCATGGGGAGAGAAAGAGGGAGAAAGGAGAGTGCGGAGCGAGCGGGGTTAGCGGGGAGGGCGGGTGAGTCGGTGCGATGCCGCAGGGAGCTGGGTGGAGGCGGCAGCTGGCGCATGTCGCGGGAGAGAGCGCGGAGAGAGCGCGGAGAGAGCGGGGAGAGAGTGCGGAGAGAGTGCGGAGAGAGTGCGGAGAGAGCGTGGAGAGAGTGCGGAGAGAGTGCGGAGAGAGTGCGGAGAGAGTAGGGAGAGAGTGCGGAGAGAGCGCGGAGAGAGTAGGGAGAGAGTAGGGAGAGAGTAGGGAGAGAGCGCGAAGAGAGCGTGGAAAGAGTGCGGAGAGAGTGCGGAGAGAGTAGGGAGAGAGTGCAGAGAGAGTGCGGAGAGAGCGCGGAGAGAGTGCAGAGAGAGTGCGGAGAGAGTGCGGAGAGAGTGCGGAGAGAGTGCGGAGAGAGTGCGGAGAGAGAGTGGAGAGAGTGCGGAGAGAGAGTGCGGAGAGAGCGTGGAGAGAGAGTGCGGAGAGAGAGCGGAGAGAGTGCGGAGAGAGTGCGGAGAGAGTGCGGAGAGAGAGCGGAGAGTGTGAGGAGAGAGTGCGGAGAGAGAGCGGAGAGAGAGCGGAGAGAGTGCGGAGAGAGCGGAGAGAGTGCGGAGAGTGTGCGGAGAGAGTGCGGAGAGAGAGCGGAGAGAGTGCGGAGAGAGTGCGGAGAGAGAGCGGAGAGAGTGCGGAGAGTGTGCGGAGAGAGTGCGGAGAGAGAGCGGAGAGAGTGCGGAGAGTGTGCGGAGAGAGTGCGGAGAGAGCGCGGAGAGAGTGCGGAGAGAGTGCGGAGAGAGAGCGGAGAGAGAGCGGAGAGAGTGCGAAGAGAGAGCGGAGAGAGAGCGGAGAGAGTGCGGAGAGAGAGCGGAGAGAGTGCGGAGAGAGTGCGGAGAGAGAGCGGAGAGAGAGCGGAGAGAGTGCGGAGAGAGAGCGGAGAGAGTGCGGAGAGAGTGCGGAGAGAGAGCGGAGAGAGAGCGGAGAGAGTGCCGCGCTCCCCCTCGACTCCGAGCGAGTGAGCGCGGAGGAGGAGCGGTGGCGCAGCGGTGAGTGACACCGCGGCGCGATGAACCTGCCCAACCATCGGCGAGGTTCCCGTTCATTGGGTCATGCGTACGGCACGACTCGTCTCGGACATCCCTTCCCGTAGGTCGGCTCGGGCTTAAATCCGTAGCTGACGGTGTTGTTCGCGTGCATCTACACGGACGACCCCTTCGCCGATCCACTGCTGGATGAGTGCCCTCCCCACGCCACGCGGGTCGTGGTGGATTGTTTCAGCGCGCTGGCCGGGACGATTTTGTGTAGGCGGCGATCATAGACAGTAATCATAGTACAGTACAACAGTGGACATTGCTCGGCTGCCCTCTGATAGCAGCAGCTGTCGCATTCGCAGTGGTCGCCCATCCCAGCACTGTCCAGGCTCAAGTCCCGCTTAGCTTTTGATAGCACGTGAGGTCGGGCGCAGTGCGGGTGACTGCCGGCAGTCACGTGTAAACATCAACACGATGAGTCCAATATTTATTTTGTAGGAGGGACCAGATACATTGTTGATTTATTTACGTGTAAGATCTTCACAGACAATTCATGTTGAGTCGTGTTTATTAATTATTATCGTTGTTGTTATTCACGTGTTGGAGGAAACCGGAGCACCCGGAGAAACCCCGCGCCTTGCGCGAGGGGGCAACGCTATATCCCCCGTACAGATGGAAACAGTTGGACATTAGCCCACTTGCTGTCCTGCCTTCTCCTGGTGAGCCAGGGTACGGCACCTCCACGACGCCCGCGGTGAAGGGAGTTTCACGACATCTGCGTGGCCTTCGTGGATAAAATAAAACATCGTGATTATTAGAACATCGCGCGATACAAAGACGACTGGAGAGAATCCACCGTGACGAGCCCCGCGCCGACCTTAATAGGTGCTCGCTGACGTCTCTGCGTGGCCGCACATTGCGACGCGCAGTGTCACCCTGGGATGAACTCGGACGGTCGGTGAACACGAAATATTCGTCTATGAGCAGAGATCGGAGACCTGCGGCTCGTTGGCTGCCCCGTTTTGCGGGCAGACCGTTTAAAAAGATAGAAATCTTACGACGTTAATTTAATCTGAGAATTATTGATTAAATCTGACAGGGAACGGGTCATTGCAGAATGTCTTGGCGGTAACAACATGTATAACAGTCAAACTATCGAGTTAAAATATAATTGAGGAGGGCGGGGGGACTAAATAGACGCAGTTTATTCCATGACCAATTTAGTTTATTTAAGTCAGAATTTACGTCATCAGCTGTATGCCTGCTGTTGTGTTTGCGTACAAGTAACTCTGCGTCTCATGCGGCTCTCTGAACTATTTTTGATAATTTGTTTTTTTACCCTTTTATCTGGCAACAAAACTGACACCTTTATTACAAGGAGTCATGTTTGCATAGACCACAATACCTGCAGTCGTAATTCAAACAAAAAAACATAACTCTGATAATGTATGCACTGCCCTTGAAGTTGATTGGTCAACACCCGAGACAGCTTTCCTTAGAGCCTAGTCTCACATGGTGTTGGACCAGATAACCCCAAAAGGCGCACAACTCAAAGACAATGCATCATCAGAGTATGAGAGCGAGGGGTAAGCATTTACACAATTAGAACCTCATTTTCCAGAAGAAAAATATGATAATTGTGAGACTAGGCTCTAAGGAAAGCTGTCTCGGATGTGGACCAATCAACCTCAAGGACAGTGCATACATTATCAGAGTTATGTTTTTTGTTTGCATTACGACTGCAGGTATTGTGGTCTATGCAAACATGACTCCTTGTAAAAAAGGTGTCAGTTTTGTTGCCAGATAAAAGGGTAAAAAAACAATTATCATATTTTTCTTCTGGCAAATGAGGTTCCAATGGTGAACTATATTTGTCAAAGACAACAACAACAGGAGCAGAAACAAACGGCTCTTCTTATTCTTAGGTTTTTTTCGGTAAAGTCACGTACGTAAAACAATTTTAAGTAAAAATTTATACAGTATTTTACTTTATTTTATTTTTTTTACCTACGTGAGTTTACAGAAAAACCCTAAGAATATGAATCCTTGCAGTCACGAAAGCTTCAAATCTAGAATAAACGGCTCTTCTTCTTCTTCGTGTTCTTTGAAAGGTTGTCGATCCCTGGGCTTGAGCAATGCAATGGGGGTTCAGCGACTCCGGGCAGCGTGGGGGCGAACAGAGTCTGCAGATGTCCTGGCGCCCCCTAGCGCGACGAGCCTTCGAACGAATCGGCTCATTAACACCTGGCGAGGGCATAACCTCCGCTAAGAGCCGACGCCGCGACATCGGGGTCTCTGTAAGGAACGACCGACTGTGAAATGCGTGGGCGTCGAGCGTGCGCGTGGTGGAACGCGGGGCGAAATGGAATTGTGAAGTGTTTCGTGTCTGTTGGTTTGTTTTTTTTTTAGATCGGTTTGAACACAAAAAAACAAAATCCATTCGCTGTGAATTGCCGCATCTTCATCACTGCTCCAAATCGCCTGGTTGCCACTTTGTTATTTTATGTTTGAGTGTCGGGCACCGGGGTGGGGGGGGAGGTGGGGGCGACCCCGGGTTCGATTCCCACTCCCGGCCAACACCAATGACGATGATCTGAACCAGTTCTGGGCCTGCCCGAGGTCGGCTCAGCCTGAAGTAAGCATTTCGTGCGATGTAAACAACGCCACAAGGGAAACAACAGCGTCCGTGAGTGATATTGGCAACACCCCCCCCCCCCTCGTGTGCCGTGTCGGATTTCATAGGTGCTCGCTAACAGCTCTTGCCCCAATAGTCAAGTGCAGATATACTGGGGATCTCTGTTTGGGGTTGACCATACTTCCCCACAATGGTCAGTGCGAGTTGGTGCAAGGACGTGAAAAGTACAAAATCGGTTCCTGGTATCACTTGCCACTGATGTTAGCCGTGAATGCGCAACCGCTACACCACCGCTCTATCCAAGGGCAAAGGGTTTTGCCAATATCGAAGGGGTAAAAAAAACCCCACACAATTCAACTTCTCATTTTGACAAATGCGTGCCGCTCAAAAGCAACGGAGACACGCACAGAGCCCCCCGCTTCGCCGTTTATGAGAGCGACGCAGTGAATACGAGAGCGAGCGAAACCATCGAATTGGCAATTTAAAAGTGGAGCAATTTCACCACCTCCTCCCGCCCTCCCCCCCGCCCTCCCCCTGCTCTCTGGAGATCCTGGAGGCCACCACCGCCGCCTGCTCGGCTCTCCCGCCCGGCTCGCTCGCCCGCTCGCCTCCCCTTTGTCTCCGCGCGTCGCCCGCCTCCACCCACGATGCTTGCTGGGTCACACGGCGGCGGCGGCGGCGGGTGGAGTGAAAAGTCTCCCTCCTCCCTCTCCGCCGTCGTCGTCGTCCGCAGCGGAGCGCGTCCATTCGCTTACATCGCGAGGGCGGGCGGGCGGGCGGGGGGGATTTGGAGGCGGCGGGGGGAGGAGCGCCGATATATCCGAGTGCTTATGTCGCGGCTTGGCCGGCTGTGATGGGCCTTGTAAGGGTGGTGGGTGGAGGAGGAGGGGGGGGGGGTATGGGGGGGGGAGAGTTGCGGAGGGGGGGGGGGTTCCCCCGTAGCCCCCACCCCCCACGGAGAAGGCGCGCGCGCGCGCGACCCGCGCGCTCATCATTAGCGGCTGCGCGCGCTCGGGACGCGCGAGTCTCGATCCTGCGAGCATCGAGTCGCTCACAACAACAACACTCACCACCACCACCATTAACTATCATTCGCAATGACAAGCAGCGACAGCATAATCCTCCACCGCTAGCAACGCATAACCTGCTGCTTGACCAAACGAACGGGGCTTGTTCGGGTCAAAACCGTAACCGATATTGAGATGTGGAGCCAGGCGTGGATGGGCTGCCGGTGACATATGGTGTTGGCGGTGGTCGTGCCGCACGCTCTCTCTCTCTCTCTGTGACTCGCTCGCTGGCTCTCCTCTGTCGCGTCGCTCGTCTGTCGCGGGACGCTGTCGTCTCCCCACCTACCAACCTCCCCACCTCCCCTCGCCGCCGCGTCTCCCTCCCCCCCACCACCTCGCTCCCACGCGAGGGGGCTCTGCTGGCCGGGTGGAGAGTGGTGGGTCCGCGCACTTTGACGCGGGTGGATGAGAAGACTCAGCCCTCTATTCAAATCGGATACAATGCCCTCCAGGTGAGGAGTGAGTGTCGTGTATTGTGAGTGTGTCTTTGTCTGTTCCGTGTGTGTGGTTTTTTTTTGGGGGGGGGGGAGCAGTGGCGCAGTGGTTAGCGCGCTGCGCTACGCAGCCCGACCACCCGAGTTCGATTCCCGCTCACGTATAGGTGAGCACCTGTAAAGGTGCTCGCTAACAGCACTTGCCCCAACAGTCTGTTGAAGGCTATACGGGGGATCTTTGTCTTGTGTATGCATGTATGCGTGTGCATATTCGTCCGTGTGTTTTGTGTGCATATTCATGCACGTGCGGTGTTGCCTTTGTGTGCTACGCCAGCGCCCTTAATAGGTGCTCGCTAACACCAGGGCGCGATCGTTGTGTTGTGTGTGCGCGCACAAGGTGCTCGCTAACAGCACTTGCCCCAATAGTCTGCTAAAGGCGAGACGCGGGACCTTTGCTTTTATTCTGTGTGTATTTGCATGCCTCGCGACCGCGGTCGGATTTCGCCAGCAGTAAATGTATGCACGGATATTCACCCCCGGCTCAGCCGTGCCATGCAATGTCTGTGCATATGTACGCGTGCGTGTGTGTGTGCTACATGTATGTAGTGGTGGTGAGCGGTGGTATAGCGGTTAGCGCGCTGCGCTACGAACCTCGTGTCCCGAGTTCGAACCCCACTCATAGGTGCTCGCGAACAGCACTTGCCCCAACAGTCTGTTCAGGCTGTACGGGGGATCTTTTTTTTCAATATGTATGTATCCGCGCACATATTGTTTTGTATTTGCGTACGTGTTAACCTGCCGCATATGTTGGTGTATATTATGAAGCAAATGTATGCACTTACTTCAGTGTACGCGTGTGCGTGTGCATGGCATGCCTGTTCGTATACACGCAAATAGCCATTGTCTTCACATATGCAATGTATGAAGAATATGCATTGTATGTATCATGAATTGTATATGGACGCGTACGTGGGATCGTTTTCACGTAATGGCACTAATATATACGTGAACATTATTTATGTGTATCGATTTTTTGTTCATGTAATAACACGAACATGTCCACGCGCATTATCCGCGCGCGTAGCCTGAATTTAGCGGTCGTGTAGCGCTCAGCGCGTCGCGCTACGAACTCGGCGACACGAGTTCGATTCCCGCTCGCGGCCAACACCGGTGACGATTATCTGAGCCGGTCCTGGGGCCTCCCCTAGGTCGACTCAGCCTCGAATGAGTACCTGGTGCGGCGTATAAACGTCACCGCTCGTGTGCCGTGCCGGCCTTCAATCACGCTGCTCGCCAGCAGCAAACCTTCCCCCAATAGTCCGCTCACAACTTTATGGCGGAATATTTTTCAAATTTTTTTTAAATGTAATATAACATTAATATGCAAACGCACATTGTGCAATTATTGCGCTTGTATACTTGCCAAGCGGTGACCGTTGTCAAAAAAAATCGACAAACCGCGTCGCTTCACAGAACAAGGAACCGGCCGGTCATCGTATCCAGTGCAAATTGTCATCGGTCGAGAGGGAGGGGGTAGTAGCCACAATGTACCCTCACCACACCTCACCACTAACCATTTCATACAGCTGCTGGTGCGGGGGGGGGGGGGGGCGTGATTTAAGAAACTTGCGCTATTGTTTTTGACTGCCGCGCGGGGAGATAGGATCGAACCGCGCGGGTACAGCCGACTCGTACAGCCACTTTGACAGTCGCCTTTGTTTAACGCTCTGTATATGCATCATTTCCCGGGAACGGATGTTTCAAAAAAATATCGGTTACATTCCGTACGGTTACCGGTATTGCAGCAACAACGAAAACCCGATTTTAACCACCGCAGTATTTACTGCATACGAATATACACAAATACACACACGTATACAGCTTGTGTCAATTGTGTAGTTCACGTGAACGCGTGACATCTGTCAGTGTGTTTTCAGGGCACACACACACGCAAATATGTATGATTTACTTAAACATTTCGTCACGCTGCGCACTCATTCTCCGTACGTAAACTCGCTCGTGAAATCCAACTCGGATGCATGACATCCTTTTTAAAAAAATGTATTAACGTACCAGCTAACCGTGTAGGTATATACATAAAGAAAAGAGTATCATTATTAAATGTTAATTGATCAATTTATATATATACATTTACCATGTGTATAAACATCTCCCAAAGTATATGCAAGACGACACAGCAGCACACTGTCGGTATATTTTGATATTTATCGTAACGGGTGTCCAACTTGCGTCTCAAATCATTCTTCAGCATCCTAGAAAGAGGAGCTAATCGCAGACCCCCGGTCCGAGCTTCCAACTCTGTTCTTGTTGTTGACTGCGAAGCGAGCGCGCTAACCACCACCCTCACACCCACGTGCCTGCACTGAACATGCGTGCAAAAAAAAAGCGTCATCGCACATCGGATTAATGTTACACGGAAAGACCCATATGTTTTCATTGTTAAGATCGTTTTAATATCATCGCCGTGGGGTGAAACAAATATATATTAACGTTTAATAAAATATGTTTTTTAATGTGATAATATATGTGCTATGATTGAGGGCCATTGCCCGAAACGTCGCATGTTATATATTAATGTTGGGATTTTAAGGCCACAGTATTTATTTACGAATGTGTTAAGTTTACTTAATTGCATGTTATATGGTGCTATATGTAAATATGCTCGGGTATGTACACGTATTCGACTGCACGGTCGATTCACAAATAAGTATGTTCATTCGTATTTGATTATATGGGTCAATAAAAGATACAGATCCCCCGTATAGTCTCGAACTGACTATTGGGGAAAGTGCTGTTAGCGGGCACCTATGAAGGCCGGCACGGCAGACCAGGGGGTGGATGGCCAACACTACGCCCGGCCGCCTTTGTCTCCCCAGTGCCGATGTTTACACACCGCACCAGGTACTCATTTGAGGCTGAGTCGACCTAGGAGAGGCCCGGGATCGGTTCAAATAATCGTCACTGGTGGTGTTGGTGTCCGTGAGCGGGAAACGAACCCGGCTCTTGCGCGTTCGTAGCGCAGCGTAGCGCTAACCGCTACACCACCGCTCCCCGCCGCCACCACCACCACCACCGCTGTCGTGCACGTGGCAATCGGCGTTGCAATAACGGGATAATAGCCCCCATGTCTGTCTTTTTTGTTACCAAAGACAGCGACCATGTCACGAACATTCGGTGCGGTTCCAACCGTGAACCTGAGCCGTTGGTTCGCACAAAGCAAGGCGCAATGCAAGTGCCGACTGAAAAGGCCGCTGTATAACTGCGCAAATTCGCTACGCCGGTGTAGTAATGACGTCCCATTACACAGGCCTCGTTTGGCACGTGGTTCTAGGAAACAATAATTGTTATAGTTACCGCTGGCGATGTCGCAAGCGAGCCAGCTAAACCCGCACACACGACACGATATATACACAGATGTTTGAAACGATCTTAACACGTTATTTTGCAAATGAACTTCCGATAATTGTTTCGTGTTTATATATACATGTATGTATTATTCTTATTAAATCGATGTAATGTTATCATTTGAGGTGTTTGTAGACTTATCAGTGCGCGTTTGTACGCGAGTTAGAGTGCTGTCTAGTTTACGGTTCGGGGGGAGCGGTGGCGGAGTGGTTAGCGCACTGCGTGACGAAGCCGGAAATCCGAGTTCGATTCCCGCTCACGACCGGTTAATAACATCGGCGAATATTTGAAGCGAGCCTCCTATAGGTCTACTCTGCCTTAAATTCGTACCCGGTGAGTGAGGTGGGTAAAACACATCAGCACTGGGCGTGTTGACCACCCACCCCCTCCTCGTGTGCCGTGCCAGCCATCATAGGTGGTGCTCGCTAACAGCACTTGCCCCAACAGTCTGTTAAAGGATATCTGTTTCGTCTTCATTTGCTTGACGGTTGAGCTGCAAATGTTTGTCACATCGCACGCACGTGGTGAGTGAGTCGGTGACGGCCTTGCGAGTCGCACTGATCCAGAATGGGGAATCGTGACCCCCCCAGTGCCAAGCTGACCCGGCAGGAGGTCGTAGCGCGCGAGTTCTGATCAAAGAGTTCCTGTCTCCTGACACAGAGAGGAGAGTAGTCCGGTCACCTTGATGCTGAAGCTCAGTTGTTTTCTTCTTAGACGTGTAACGTACTTACTTGATCATCGTCGTTATCATGATCGACGATGTCCCAACGCTGTAATCCCAGCCCTCAAATCACTCGCAGCCCAGAATGACTTTTGTCTCGCTCCTCAAATCACTCGGAGCTCACGTCGCTTCATCGCCGCGCGGTGCAGATAGTACGAGTGGATGCTTTATAAAAATTTCTCTGCGGCGGGCGTTTTTTTTTCTTGGCTTTCTGATTTAGCTCCAAATTTTTTCGAAGGATTTTCTTCTCCTTAAGATTTTGCCGTTGGAATAATTTTGTTTTTATTGAAAGAAAAAAAACTAATATTATTCCAAACAGCTGTCGTTATTACGTTAATAAATCACTTCAATGTCCAGTCTTTTACAGAACATCTGCCCTTTATTTTGTGAATGGCGAGGTAGGAGACTGGAGTAAACAACATCATCATCAGCAGCCAGTGTCTATCCACTGCTGGATGGAGACCTCCCCATGCAGTCTCAGTCCTGCCCTTGGACCGATCTCATCGCTCCATCTCCGCGTTGGTCGATCCTCTTCGTGTACCCGGACAATACCGAGGGGCTACCGACAAAAGTTCCGCACGAGATAGATACGCAACCTACTTGCAGCGCTGCCGACTGCACCACGGGGCCATCTCGTAGCCCTCTAAGGCGAGTGTGGGGCTCGCGTTAAGGTGTCCGTTTGATTTTTATTATGATCTGGACTTTATTTATTAAACCTGATGCTGGCAAGCAAAAGACTGACGGATCTAGCGGTGTCCGGTAATGGCTTGGGGTGGTGAGCTCGGGGGTAGGTGGGCGAGGTTAGCCCAGCTGTCGTCGGTCACCATCAGGCTGGGTGCGTGGAGACGCGGGGGCACAGAGTGCTCGACTCACAAGCCCAAATATGCGAGTTCAACGCCAGGATCGGGCGAGATTCGACCCCTTATTTCTGCTTGGTCGATTGTTCAAAAAAAGGTAGAGGAGGATACAACGCTTTGTGGAAAGAACACAGTGGTCGTGCTTTGGATGGAGTCGGCTCCGTCATAGGAATGTGGAATTTGTACCGCTGGCTCAGGCTCACCGTGCATGGGAGATGAGCATTGTCCAATCGCTTCGTTTGAGAAGCAAACGCAAAAGTCAACACTCTTTGACAACACTGCTTTAAACATATTTCACCTGCGATGTTCCAGACAGTGGTCCGTCTTCGTAGCATTGAGAAGCAGGCACTTGGCATCTATATATTATTGGATAGTTTCGATTGTTGGCACGATTGTTGTTTGGTGACATCGAATGCTTCAATCACTTCAAGGTGTGCCTGTCATATTCCCGTCAAAGAGATACAACGCTGCTTTCAGTCTACGCGTGTTCCTGTGCATGTGTGTTTAATAGGTGGGGAGTGGTGGTGGGGAGTGGTGGTGGGGAGTGGTGGTGGGGAGTGGTGGTGTAGCGGTTCGCGCGCTGCGTTACGAACCTGGTGACCCAAGTTCGATTCCCGCTCACGGCTACCAACAGCAGTGACGATTATCTGAATTGATCATGGGCCACCTCTAGGTGGACTCAGCCTAAAATAAGCACCTGGTGCGGTGCGTAAAAACATCACCACCTGGGAGACAAAGGCGACTGAGCGTGGTGCTGGCCACCCACCCCCTCGTGTGCCGTTCTGGCCTTCATAGGTGATCGCTAACAGCACTTGCCCCAACAGTCTGTTAAGGCTATACGGAAGATTTGTTTGTTTTGTGTTTAATAGGTGCTCGCTAATAGAACTTGCCCCAGCTGTCTGTGCACGCTCCACAGGGGATCGCTGTCTTTGGATGTGCGTGTGTGAAAAAGTTAGCGAGCACCTATTAATTCCGACACCGTGGACGAGAGGATTTCTTTGTCTGTGTGTGTGAGCAGTGGTGGCACCGTGCTACCGACCTGGGGACCAGAGTTTGATTATATTATCGATCACGGCTAACAACAGTAGCGATTATCCAAACCGGTTTTGGACCATCCCTGGGTCGACTCAGCCTGAAATTATAAACACTTGGTGCGATGCGCGAAATTAAAAAATATGTAAACAAAGGCGGTCGGGCGTGGTATTATCCACATTATTCGTTCGCGTGCCGTCCCGACCTTAATAGGTGTTCGCTAACAGGACTTTTCCCAGCAGCATGTACAATGATGATACATTTGGGGATATGTGTATGTGTGTGTCTTTGATGATTGCTTAGTGTAGGGAGCGATCGCGTACCGGTTAGCGAGCTGCCGCTATGAATTCGATTCCCGCTCACGGACAACACCAGTAACGATTATCTGAACCGGTCCTGGGCCTCCCCTAGGTAGACTCGGCCTCAAGTTAGTACCTGGTGCGGTGTGGGAGACAAAGGCGGCCAGTCGTTGTTGTTGGCTACCGAACCTCTAGTGTGCCGTCCCGGCCTTCATAAGTGCCAGCCAACAGCACTTGCCCCAACAGTCTGTTGAGGCTACACGGGGCACCTTTGTGTTTGTTTATGTACGGGGCGCTTGTGACCAGCTGTTCGCAAGCAGGATTCCCCTTAGCCGTCTGAGACTGAAGCTTATCGTTCACCTGTGTTTTCGCTTTGGTCGCGAGAGCGACGACGTTTCTGTTTGCTCGACACCTGGGTTCGATTCTTGGACCCTCCCTTATGTCGGATACGCCTTAAATGAGTAATACAGCACCTGGAGCGGTGTAAAAAAAAAAGAGCATCCCATCGGCATTTGGGGGAGACAAAGATGGCCTGGAATAGTAGTGGGCACACCACCCATGCGTGCTCGCTAACGACGATTGCCCCATCCAGTCTGTTAATACCTGAATGGCATACGTATATACAAAGATGCCCCGTATAGCCTTACACGACTTGGGGCAAGTGCTGTTAGCGAGCACCTATTAAGGCCGGGATGGTACAAGGGGGTGGGTTGCCAGCACCACGCCTGACCGCCTTTGCGTATACACACGTATATATATACATATATACACACATATATACTGTATTCAAAAAGTATTTTTACGCGCTGCAAACAACCGCCGTTCGCCACAAAGTGGCGGTGACATCACCACGTCGCTTGTGCCAGGCTAGGTGCACCATGATGCCACGTGAAGTGTCGAAGGCTCGCTGGCAGGAGGTAAACGGGAACGAGCCCCCAGGTCGTGCCACGGGGTTGACCGACTGAGATGATTCGCGTATGCATCAGCTGTATTCCTCCCTGTGCCGTAACACCCACTCACGTGCACGTATATTCACGGCTACGGGTGTGTGTGCAGTATATATATGAATATAAATCGTATTGGTTTGTGTGCATCAGTATATGTAGGACGGTATGTATACATGTAATGCATTTATGAGCGTGCATGTTCGTGAATGAGTTGCCGTGTTGATACTCGGTATATGTGTGTCGTTTGCGGCATATATGCAGTCATGTATATGCTATATGTATGTGTAGCTATATACGTATATGAATGTATGTATTTAGGTGTGTATTTGGGCAGTATATATGTGTAAGTATATTAATGTATGTACAGTATTTACGCTTGTATTTGGGGAGTGTATATGTGTGTATTAGAATGTTAATATATGTAGCAGTGAGTGTATATAGGTGTGTATGAGTGTTAAGTATATGTATGTATTCATGTAGACATGCTTACACATGTAGAGGTATGCATTGAGGGGTGGCACAGCGGGGAGCGGTGGCGCAGTGGTTGGCGCGCTGCGCTACAACCCCGGCGACACGAGTTCGATTCCCGCTCACGACCGGTCCTGGGCCTCCCGTAGGTCGACTCGGCCTCAAATGAGTACCCGGTGCGGTGTGTAAACATCACCACTAGGGAGACAAAGGCGGCTGGGCGGTGGTGCTGGCCACCCATCCCTTAAACATATCGCGGGGGGTCTTTGTCTACATGTGCGTGCGGTGTTATTGATGAACGTGTGGACTTTATTGTTGTTAATTGTCCCTGTGCACCACTGCGGACGCACCAACAGCGGCATTAACGAAATGCAGCATTTTTTTTCGCTTTCCTCTTTCCAGATTTGAAATCGATCCTCTTCTTTCGTGAAAAACAATCAAGGTGCCCCCCGCCCCCGCCATCTATTTTAAAACAAACAAGCAAACATCTCGCGTGATTGCCCACCGCTCCACCAAGACCGAGTGCATCATCCCGGGGGAGATGACGCGTCAACGGCACCCACGTCAATGGGCACCCACAGCCACGACGACGATGACGACTTAGAAGATTTTAAAAAAGAAAATTAGGATTTGGATTCGTGCGCTCCGCGATCGCTAAGCCAGGGATTGTCCACTGCAATATCATTCCGCGATCCAGACAATAAAATGGCTCCATTTGCCGTACAAAGCGCGCGGCTAAATTGCCGGATTTAATATATTGCGCCGTGCTCCGTATAAATTGCGCTCCTCTCTCTATTCTCTCTCGTCTCCTCTCTCTCTCTCGCTCTCACCGTATCGACGACCCCAACACTCCCCCAGCAGCCGTCTAGGTCACGGGTTAACGTCGTCGTCGTCGTGATGATTGGCGCGGGTTAACGAGGGAACCTCCCGAGACATTTTGCGACGAACAATTGGCGTGGACGCGCGAACGATCTTAGGACGGGCACTGGTTTGTTTTTAAAAATAATTTTTTTTTTTGATTCAAAGTGTGTGGGGTGCCTGAGCTCAATTCATCGGTCGCGTCTCGCCTCCGTTGTTTGATGTTAAAATGTAAATGTTGGGGCTTAAGTCAACGAATACACACGCGCGCGGCGGTTAAGCGTTCGAGACGATGCAAAATGTATCATCAGTCGCGATAGTAATCTAGAAGCCTATACAAGCGGCATTTTAAGTTTCGACGATTTTGTCTACAGCAATTGACATAAATTCATCAAAAATGTCCAACTCATGGCGGTCGATTTTTTTCAAGAAACATTATAAATAAAATGTTTTGTTGCTAAAACAATTTAGAATGAGTGACCAGCATAGGACGATTTATTTAAATGCGTAACTTATGCGAGAACTCACCGAATACGTTACAATTGCATCGAACACGAGTCGGCTGTTTTGTATCGGTGAGCTAATAAGGGAAAGGACCCCCCCCCCCCCCCACATTCCACCCTCTCTCTCTACCGACTTTGATCAGATATTCTAATATATCGGGAAACACACATTTCCCGAGCGAGAACGTCTCCTTTGAACGGACCGAGCGCGGTGTAAGCGGCTCCATGGAGGGGTCAAGTTTCGGCATCGATCGAATTCTGACTGGAAAATCGGAGCCGTCTCCCCGCGAGGACACCGGGCACCCCCCCTGCCCGCCCAGCCCGCCCAGCCCGGGCAGCACGGCCTCTAGCCCGACGTCCGAGCAGGCGAGCCCGAGGCTGTGCTGCGTCGAGCAGGCCTCAATGGCGGAGAACGCCGCGGCGCTCCGCGGGGTTCAGTGCGGCCTCGCGCAGAAGACGGCGCAGGTCGGAGCCGCCGCTCCCTTCAGCTCGGGCGCTCGCCTCGCCTCGCTGCCGTCGCCTCCCGCGTCCTTGCTCCTCTCGCCCTCCTCCATGCTCTCTACCGCCACCGCGGCGGCGGCGGCGAACGGGGACTCGAACTGCGACGCGCACGGGACGCGGCTCCTCCTCAAGGCGGCGGCGCCGCCCCCCGCGCACCCGCCCCCGGGGCCCGGAGACGGCATGATTGTGACGTCATCGCCATCGTCGGCCATCATCGCCATGGGTTCCTCGTCGACGACCTCGACGACATCGTCGTCGTTATCGTCGACGCTGCCGTCAACCAACGCATTCAACTCCTCCTCCTCGTCCTCCTCCTCGTCTTCGTTCCTGATCCGGGACATCTTGGGCGAGGCGAAGCCGCTCGCCACGTGTCCGCCCTACGCGACGCACGGGGCCGCCGGGGGTGCGGGCGGCCACGCGCGAGGGGACGCGGGGCCCGCGGGGGCCCTGGCGAGGAACGCGGGGTGCAAGGGGGGCGTCGACACGTGCAGAGGTGAGCGCGCGCACGCGCACCAACACGTGCACGCGCACCAACACGTGCACGCGCACCAACACGTGCACGCGCGCGCGCATCCACACCCACACGTGACCCCCACACACACGCGCACCCACACGTGCACCCAAGCCACACGTGCACCCACACACACACGCGCACCCACACGCGCACGCGCACACGCGCACACGCGCATACAAGACAAAGATCCCCCGTATGCCTTAACAGACTGTTGGGGCAAGTGATGTTAGCGAGCACACACCGCATAAAAAAAACACACACACACGTGTACGCACACACGCGCACATGCACACATACGCACACACACACCGCACACACATCGCACACACACACCGCACACACCCCACATACACACAAACAAAGATCCCCGTATATCTTAAGGTGCTCGCTTACACGCACACAAAGCCAAAGATCCCCCGTATAGCCTTCGCAGACTTTTGGGGGGAATGCTGTTCGCGAGAACAGAAAGCCACCTATGAAGGCAAGAACGGCACACGAAGGGGTGGGTGACCAGGACTTGCCCGGCCGCCTTTGTCTCCCTAGTTTACACCAGGTGCTCATTTGAGGCTTGCACACACACACACACAGATATACACCCGTATTCAGTCAAAGAATAGTATGTGTACACACACTTGCAAAGTCACACCCACAAAGACAAAGATCCACCCGCTAGCCTGCAACACAGATTGTGGGGATCAAGTGCTGTGAGAGCGCGTGTTCAGGTCGGAGGTGGGTTAGCCAGCGTTGCAGCCCGAGGCGGCCTAGGGGAAGCCAGGGGCCGATTCAGATGTTCTCTCACCGCATGTTTGCTGGTCGTGAGCGGGAATCGAACTCAGATCGCCGGTTTCGGAGCGCGCGCTGTGCAAAGCGCTGCACTAAATGCTCTCCAATGCGGCGCAAACACACACGCGCACGCACGCGTGCACGCGTGCATACAATGCATAGAGTATAAACGGCACCACACACATTCGCATATATATCACGCAAATACAAAGATCCCTCGGATAGCCTTGACAGACTGTTGGGGCATGTGTATTAATCTAGCACCTACGAAGTGTCTATATACCGTGTATATAACTGCGTGTGTATATATATTTAACAAAAGCCAAGAACAGCACGCAAAGACATACAAATGTATGCATAAATGCATGATTACAAACACCCACCCACACAAACACTCAAACACACGCCTAGTCTCACACATTGTAGAAGGCAATATCCATGCACGAATGCGCACTTGCACGCGCGCCGTGCACAGACACGCACTTGCACGCACAGATGCACACAAACACGCGCATACACGCGCAATCGATACGTCGCCAGGTTGACACACGGAAACACACACACACACAGCCGCGTGCACACATCGGAATAAGTCAATAGAGACGCACCACGCGTATATAGGTACAGAGACAAACCCCCCCCCCCCATAGCCTCAACAAACTGTTAGGGTAAGTGCCGTTAGCGAGCACCTATAAAGGCTGGCACTGCATACGAGGGGGTGGGTTGCCAGCATTGCTTCAGGTCGTTTTTTGTCTCCCCATCGCGAATGTTTCCAGACCACACCGGGACCAAATGTTCGCCGATGCCCACTCATGGCTAAAATGGGTAGGAATCGAACTCGGGCGGTCAGAGTTCGTAGCAGTGTAGTGCGCTAACTGCTGTGCCACCACTCCTCATACACGGGGACACGAACAGATACATAGCAGATCCGCACACGGGAGCACACACGGGCGCAGATATACGCACATGCACACACACACACAAAGGGGCACACAGACGCACGTATACGAAGACAAAACAAAAATCCCGGTGTAGCTTTTAACAGACTGTTGGGGAAAGTGGTGTTCGTGAGCACCTATTAAGGCCGGCGCGGTACACGAGGAGGTGGTGGTCAGCACAACACCCGACCCCCTTTGTCTTCCCAGTGCTGATATTATTATAAATATCGTAACAGGTACCTAGGGTAGGCGGCCCTGGATATGTTGAAATATTCGCCACCCGTTAATGGTCGTGAGCAGGAATTGAACTCGGGTCGCCGGGTTCGTAATGCAGAGCGCTCACCACGACACTACCGTTCCCCCACACAGGAGTACAGACACACGGATACACGCTCACACCCACATGGGTACACACGTGAGTACACGCGTGCATATCGGCTCACAAAACAAAGATCCCCCGTATAGCCTTAACAGACTATTGGGGCAAGTGCTGTTAGCGAGTAGCACCTATGAAGGCCGGAACGGCACACGAGGGGGTGGGTGGCCTGCACCACGCTCGGCTGCCTTTGTCTCCCAGGTACTCATTTAAGGCTGAGTCGACCTAGGGGATGGCCTAGGACACGGATACACACGCACGTGTACACGCAGACACACGTGTGCACACACACATACACACGTGTTATCACAAAATGGGTGAAGCTGTGAGCGGCCACTCTAAGCCGGTAGTGTGTTCCCTTGTTCACCAACAGATGTAAATGTGCAGCCCTTTGTAAATTCACTACAGGCTGAAGGCTTTTCCACGCCTTGTGGTTCATTTGGGGTTGTTTGACCATATTTCCCCACTCCACTCTCAGTGCGGGTTGGTGGAGAGTTTGATGGAAAGGGTGGGGGGGGGGGGGCAAGGACCGGTTCAGTTCTCCGAGTTCATTGCGTTGTGTGCTAACCACTGCACCACCGCTCCAGCCCACAGATGACCTGTGTTTATAATCAGGTGAGAGTCAGTTTGAGAAGATATCTGTTGGATGAGGGTTGGGGGTTATATTTCATGTGCCCGGTTAAATGTCGGAAATAGGTTCTGTGGATTTTTTTTACCATTTATTTATAATCCAATGGCCCTGATATATTTATTTATTTAACACCATATCTAAGGGACAACCCCAAACGGTCCCAAAACTCCAGGCAGCCGGAAACGAACAGCACTCGTGAGATGAAGACGTTTCCAGTGGAACATTTCTTTCGCATAATTTAATCGAGACATCGCCATGGGTCGTCGTAAGCGGCCTCCTCAAAGTGGAATCGAATAAATAATAATGATTAATAATAACAATTGTGGCGCCGTGGTGACGAGATGTTATCTACCTCGCCTGGTGTACAGCATGTATTGGGTTCCATCCCGACCCTGACGCCTGCTGTATATTTGGAGTTTGCATTTTATCTCTCTCTCTCTCCCCGTGTGGTCTCGTGGATTTTTCTCCGGCTCCTCCGGTTTTTCCCTCCACTTTTAGTAATCAACATCGCCACGCGTTTAGATTATTTGGCTGCTTAAAAATTTCCACGTGACAAGCCACTTCGTTGAGCTCTCATTTGTGGCCAGGTCGCTTCTGAAAAAAGAGCTACGTAGCTCAGTGGGGTTTATCTGGTAAATAAAATACTTTATTTTATTTTCGGTTTTCATTCCGAGGTGCCTCAAATGACCTCATATCCCAGACTCGAGGCGCTACACCATCTCGCGTGCCGAGGTATAGAGGCGTTCGTCGCACGGCAATCACGCCGGGTGGCGGTGGTGGTGGCACGTGGCTGCCTGTAATCAGGCATTGTGGAGGCAGCAGCAGCAGCAGCAGCGAGGGTTGGTGGATTACCACGAGCCAGGATAATGTAGTCGAGCAAAAATATCGACTCCACCTGTTCCATCTGTGCGGGATATGGTGTTGCTCCCTCGTTTTCTCCGGGTGCTCCGGTTTATTCTCACGTGTAAACGCTCATGAATTGACGTATAACACCTTCATATCTAGAGGACTACAGAGCTTAGTGGTGGGGAGGGGGGTTCCTGCTGGCTCACTGCCACGATGTATAAAACAGGTGTTATAGGCTGCGGGGTTACATCGTGAGCAGCACAGAGGGCAGCGCGGACGAACCCATTGTTGTGCCGTGCGTCTATGCCCCCCCCCCCCGCCTTCACCAACCCGCACTGACCAGCGTGATGAAGTATGGACAAATAACCTCCCGCGCTCTCTACACGACGTGGGGAGGCCCTCATGCAGTAGTGGGTTGATGAAGGGCTCTATCATAAGCCAGCCTGTGTCCCTGCGGTCGACTCAGATTCAAACCCCACTCTGGGGGATGAACTCAGCCCGTCATCACCCTCCGCACAACGCGTACCAACTGTGTCGGAGAGGTCGGCAGTGACCGTGCGCGCCATGGCAATGTGGAATTCCCATCGCCGACTCAGCAGCCGCTTGCCACGTGTCGCTTGAGCGAGGAGACGTCTTCCGTGACTCGCGATTTTACTTTTGAGATCAACAGAAAGCAATCGCGGCCACGCTGCTGCTGCTGCTGCTTGTCAGGACAAGTCGCTGCTTGCGGTGAATGTTAATTAATCGCTGGGTATCCAATTAGCCATGGCGGTGTAAATCAGTGCACTTGCATACACAATAATAATGACAACAAGGATGTGTTTTCGCTCACTCGCTGTGTCCTACATGACGTGAAATAGAAAATGAAACGTGCGGAGCGGTGGTAGAGTGGTCAGCGCCGCTGCGCTCTGCACCCCTGGGCGGCGACACGAATTCGATTGCCAGACGTGCAGCAGATGTAGCACGAGTGGGAAGCGGTGTCACGATGTGCGTGTCATAGTATGTGTCCTGGTGCTGAGTGAGAGGCTGTATGCGGAGGTGTGAATCTCACGTCCGTGTCCGTCGATGTTTCAAAGCATTTAGACGAAACGAAAAAAGTGAAAATCTAAATGGAACTTTGGTGAGTGCACTTAGGCCAGACGCGAGACTTCCATGGGTTGGTTTTGGCAGAGCTTAGCCGTGTTTTCAGAAGGTCTATAACCCTATACTGATGCTATTAAAATAAGTTCTCATTTTCTATTCATGACATAATGTTTACCATATGTAGTATTACTATTAGCGCTATTGTCGATATCCCAATGAAGCCTTCATATATTGCTCAAACGAAAGCAATAACGCTGCTTATCTTCTTGGTTCTTTCGGTAAAGTCACGACAAAGGGAAATAATACAATAATAAAAATAAAA